ACATTCAAAATCCCCATAAATGAACAAGAATATACAAGAATATGGAAAGTATCAAAAGCGAAAGTAAAGAAGATGTCTTTTTTTTATAAATATTGGCTTACAATGGCCCTCGAGGGGTCCTTACATACAGTTACAAAAGCCCTCAAAGGGTCCTTACACAGAAACAAAGAAACAAAGGGGTATACACCCATAGTGAAAACCTAAGAACCTAGTCCATCCTCGAAGGTTTATCTCCAGCATTAGCATCCCCGAGTGTCGCCTCCTCGAGCTCGCATCCTCAAAGGCAACTCCTTCAATCGTCATCTCCTCTAGGTTCCCATCTCAATCCTGCAGAAAGTCCTCGCCGAGGAAAAAGATGAAGAAGAAGAAAGGGGGGATGCAGAAGAGGCAGAGAAAAGAGACATAGTCTGCCGAAGCCAAAGGTTGAAGATTCGGCGGGCCCAGCCTCAATGACCGGTTTTGCCATTTCATCCCTCGGGAATGAAAAAACCCAAGGGATGAAGTGCCACACCAAGCCAGGGTAGGAGAGTGAACAGCGGTGTATAGTCCGAATAACTTTCTAAAAATAGGAAAATCGATTCCACGTCTATCGTCACCTCGAGCCAATAAGGACAACATTAACAATCGCAACAAAAATGGCAGTGACGGTAACACGATATAATCTCACTCAACAAAAGGAAACTCAGGCAAAAGTCCATCTCCCAGATGGTGGGAATGCAGCCCAACAACCTTAAGGTCGTGAACTTCAAACGTGATGATTAACAAAATAGAAAGGTGGCGAGAAGGAGGGGATAAATGAATAAAGAAAGACACTTAGATAGAAAAATGATGCCAGAATGCCCCCATTTATAGGGGAAATAACATGACCATCAATACCTTTGGAAGATTGACCGGAAGGCGTAATAACTGCATTCTTAAAGAACTAAATTGATGGCGGTACTACCACTTTGAAGAACTGTAATTGACAGAACGTTGAATGGCGTCGAAAAGACAAGCCCATGAAATGTCCCGCTTATCGTGAAAATTCACGTCATAGATTGCATCATTGCTATGACATCATCACGGGAAGCCCGAAGAGTTGGGCATCATAATTGTTTCCCATCGCTTGTTGAGCAAGTGACATTGGTTGAAGTTCAATATGAATATGCATCATCAACTGCTTCTTTCTGAGAAATGCGGAGACCTTTGGTATATGGCAAAATCAGAGGGCCTAATTTCTTTCTATCGAGTTACTTTAGAAGAACACCTCGAGACCTCAAGGACGCAAAGTTGTGACCGAGTTCCCTCCCTCGGAGCTCGTCGAGGTCCGACTTAAAAAGGACATAGATCGAGGCTAGAGTAAAATAGGGAATTCCCAAGTCACACGGATAAGTCTTACAAAGCCGGCCTACCCAGAGCCCGTATCAAGGCATTGTGTCTAGCCGTCACATCTCCATGACTTTACAATTAATGTATTTTATACTATGACAAGATTTCCTTTCCTATATAAAGGGGATCCTCATCACTTTGTAAAGGGTTGTTGTTGCTCCAACTATTCTAAACAAGATCAATAACAACTCTCTCCCTCTTTTCTCTCTAACTTGCTCGCTCGAGACTACCGCTTTCATTTATTGCTTTCATACTTGTTCTTCATTTATTTCTTAGTATTGGCCATAGAGAGACTCCTTTAATTATATCCTGACTGTAAGCCACTTCTCGGTTATCCCCGATAGCTGGAGCCTGAGCCCCAGCATCGACCTCGAGGCCCTTCATCGGCTAGCCCAAGGCTCGGACAGCTAACTCATTGGTTTGATTATTACGCTGTTTTAGCTCGCAGCTCACCCCTATCCTCACATATCTAGCATCAACTGCTTAAATAACTAGCATAAAAATAGATCACGTATTTTTAGAGTCCCATCAACAAATTTAATTGTTACTACCATTTTTATGATAAACAATGGGTAAGAAATTCTAAACCAAAATTTTCAAATCTTTAATACCCAAGTGCGTATGCAAAAACCCTAGCTCCAAAACTTGTGATCTTTTCTCAAGATATGTCAAAGATGTGTAGAGATTTGCCAAATATGTGTTTCTAATAAGCTAGGTTATGTATTAAAGATCTTGGGATAGAGAAAATGTGAAATGCCAAGTTTGTCCAGAGCTAGAGCCCGTTAGCCACACCTGCAGAAAACTCATCGTAGGTGTGATACTGCAGAAGCACGAAAAAATACTCACCGATGCTATTCTAGTGAAATTTGACTACTCCGTAGAAGCGGACATGTCGCTGCAGAAGCGGCTTCGCAAATGCGGACATCAACCGCAGAAGCGGTTCCGTTGAGGTGGATTCTTAGTCGCAGGTCCGTTTCCACTGCAATTTCTCCCATCCCATAGACACAGCTATTTCTCGCTGATGCGGGCCTGTAGAAATGGGCACTCTTCTGCATATGCGATTTCACTGAAGCAATTTTGCACTTTCCTCTTTTTTGTTCATTTCCACTTCAATTGACTTCAATTCTCTTCAACACTCATTGTGCCTAATATCTAGCAATGCACCCATAAATCACCTCATTTTATAATTAAAGGACACAAAAACTAAAGAAAGAGACTAAAATAAATGGTAAAATCACCACTCATCACTTAGCAAAGTTAGGCATTGCGTTCACATGGGAGTCTCATGTTCACAAAGAAGGGGAATCATCTAGGTAAGAGCTTAGCCTTTGAGATCGCGAAGTGAGTCCCGCCATCGCGAAGTGTATAACTGGACAAATATTTTAAGTACTCTATTTCTAGGATTTGAGTTATTTTATCATATTTTGAATGGGAGCTCAGATTTGGGTGGTTTTTGAGGGAATATTTACTACTTGGATTGGGCAAGTATTCTTAACTCGAATTTGATTATTATTCATGATTGCATCTTTAGTTTTTGCATTTGATTGATGAATATAAGTGAGGAAAATTAGGAATTTTGGCAAACGTTTTCTAAAATGAAAAATAGGGATTTGAACCCCTATTCGGGGTCAGATTTGGATAACACTTGTATGGTTGGACTCGTATTCGAATGTGTGTTTTGAATTGGTAACGTGTTTCATGTTTTAGGAGGTGGACTTGAGTTGACTTTTGGTTGACTTTTGATTTTTGATAAAGATCGGAGCCTTATTACTTGGAATCGATTTCTATAGTCATGTTTGATATTATTAAGTTATTTTGGCTAGTTTTGACCCGTTTGGAGGCCACTTTAAGTGGTAAGGGCTTTGTAGAGCATTGATTTGGCTTGTTTGAAGTAAGTATCTTGCCTAATTTGGCCGTAATTTCCTATTTGTCTTATGTGAAAAGCGATATGTACACGAGGCGAGGAGCGTATACATGGGTGCTATGTGTGGTTTGTAACCACATTAGACTTAGACTATTAATATTCCTTAATTTGAGGATGTATTGTATATGAAACCTCCATAATCACTCGGTGGATATGTGTACATGATCACTACACTTTGTTTAATTGTAGTAATACTTCATTTGTTAAATACATATCCGCATTTTATTATTTTTCATGTCCATGCGCACTCTGTTGATAAATTATGAACCCATATCCCATGATAAAAACTTTGCATTAATGTTTGTGATTTTCTAGCACATGTAGATATGTTGAGCGGATTGTCGATGTTGGTACGAGGTTTTTGCTATGTGATTGTGATTGAAGTTGTTGTTGATATGGGAATATTATTAAATCAGAGCAATAAGGCGACCTATAATTATTCTGTCAGACGGGAGAGATAAGGCGGGATATTGTTAAAGAGGAGGGACAAGGTAGGATATTGTTATTTTTTTAGGCGGGAGCTATAGGCGGGATATTATTATTTTGTCAGGCAGGAGAGACAAGGTGTGTTATTGTCGAGGTGGAGCGATACGGGTGACTATTGTTATTATAACAAAATTATGGGCGCGAGGTTCCATATGTTTATGTTCTGATGACTTCTTGTCAAACTAAACGCTTACTTGTTTGATTTGTTATCACATGTTCGGAAGCTGTTGTTGATATTATCTCTGTTATATATTCTTTTGTCAGTTTTATTTCGATATATTGTACATGTTATTTGACTAGTGGGTATCACATGTCTTGAACCTTGCCAGTACTTTACCAAGGTTAGTCTTAATACTTACTGGATACTGACTGTAGTGTACTCATACTATATTTTTGCATATTTTTGTATATATATATAGGTACTTTGGATCGGGCGGATCTCTAAAGAGGCGTGCTTGTACTTATTGGAGAGTTCAAGGTATCCATGTTATTTCTTTCGCATGCCTCAAAGTCACCCTCTATTCTTTGTGTCTACAATTTATGTTTTTCAAACAGTATTGAACTCTTCGAGACTTGATATGTATTCCATTTAAAGCTTATGACTCGGTACTAGAGGGATTTGGAAAGTTGATTATTGTATCCATGTTTGGTAGTATTATCGTATTTCACAATTTTCATGAATTTGAAGTTGTTATATTTTGGTTGACATCATTATGTTATAAGCTTACCTACTCTAGGAGACCAGGTGCCATCACGATCCTTGTGGTGGGAGTTTGGGTCATGCCAAGACTTCAATTATATTTGTCTAAACTTCAAACAGATGTATTTCTTCCTCATACCAGCCTTATAAATCTAAATCATAGTGGCTCATGACTTATTATACCATTATTGAATTCTTTAATAGTCTTTATTATTAATATTGATGATTTCTCATTATAATTGTAACTTATATTGCTTGTCTTACCTAGCCGATTAGGTAAGTGTCTTCACGACATAGCGGGATTTTGGGTCGTGACAATATTTCAAATAAGATCACATAAGCTTCAATTTCAAATAAGAATACCTACTTGTGTATGATAAGTTAGGTGGTGAATTACTATCAATATAAATGTCTTCAAGTCTAGTTTCCAATGCAATAAACTATTCGTTAGCCTGATTTTGGTACAAAATGTTATGCATGTTTTACTACGGAATTTGTGACACATGGCACTTCCAAGGGTTCATAGATATAAACCCCAAATTCATGTTTTAATTTATTTTTTTCATTTTCTCCTCTAAGAACAGAACCCTAGCAAATGTACGACATTACCTTTCAGCCTAGAACTTGAAGCTAAGTTAATTTTTATCATTAAGCAAGGTTATCCCAAGATAAAGTAAGTGGTTCTAACACTGATTTCTTGTTGATTGTAGCGAATCTAAATTTTCTCGAGCAAGCTTCAAAGTGTATCAGTTTCTAAGATTTCCAACAAGCTAAGGTATGTTAAAGTTTTCCCCCTACCTTCTTCCATGAGCTCTTATGAGTATTCTGGTTATATTCAACGTGTAGGACTCACGAGGCGGTGATCAAAAGTCATGAGTCCAAATATTGTTAGTTGTGTATGGTAGATGGGATTATTTTGTATGATATGAAGCTCAGGAAGTATTTTAAATCTCGTAAAAAAAATTGACATGGTAGTTAAGGCAGACAGAAGGGTGTGGAGACACACCATTAAATTGATTGTCTCCGGAGCTTGCCGCTCTTCGAATGTATGTTGAATTTCTTATATAGCTGAAGGTTGTTGTGAATTTGTTAATATTAGTTTTCTTCTCTATCGATTCATGTAGATAAAGATTATAATGAAAGGGCTGATTCTTTGTAGTTATTCTAAGAATTCAGAATCGAGGTATGTAAGGCTAAATCCCTTTCTTTCTGCTATGACATGGCCTTAGAATTATATGTTTCTTATTTACGATTTTGTGAGGCCCTAGAGTATGTATCATATTGAAATATCCATGTTATTCTTCTATGAAAATGAGCTTTCAAATGTTATTGTGCTCCAATCATTGTCGAGACTTCACAAAGAGTATGATCCTATTGTGTCAAACCCTTTTTAGAGATTATGCTCCTATCATTGATGAGTTACCATAGATATCATGTTCTTGATTGTTGTTGAGCCTTCCAGATTTTCTCAAATTGATTGTAGTTATTCTTTTGAGATGCCTAGTTGAATATTACATAAGTAAGGCCTGTTTCAAATGGTTGTTCTCCTAATGAGCCTTATATGCAGCATAACATCCAAAGTTATAAGATGATAAAATGTTTTAAGTAGATTACGCTCTCATGTTCTCGTGGTCCATTGATGTTGTGTGAGGCCTAAGGCCCTTCTGGTCGTGTTATGTACATCCTTTGTCACCCTAATAAATTATTAATGTCGTGTGAGGCATGAAGCTCGTGTTGTCATGTTATGTACACACTTTGTTACTCATATAATTCACAGATGTCGTGTGAGGCACGAGGCCCGTATGGTCGTGTTATTATACACCATGATATATCATTCCCATGGAATAAAGGAAATAAGTGAATATAACCATATTCAAGTATGATAAAGAACAACGATTCCAGAACATCATCACATGGCAATCCAAAGAATAATTATAATAACCCAAAAGAAGTTACATCATGACTTAAGCATAGTAAGACTATATGTTTGTCTCTTAGTTTCTCAAATGTCTTATGTACAACATATTTTATGCTTTTATCTCTTATTCTTCTTTTTTATCTTATGTTATTTAGCCTGCCTTATTATACGAGTTCTATTGCATATTACTCATGTCCCTTTTTGCTAGGGGCACTACATTCACCTTGCAGGTATAGAGGCCCAAAGTGGCAGACCCTCCAGATAGGAATCAGTTGTATTATTCACCTGCTGTAGTGAGCCCCACTTACTTCTGGGGAAAAGTCTTGACTTTTGTTATTATGTGTAGTAGTTTTGGGTAAGTCGCGGTCCTATCCGGTCACTTTTATGGTTTAATTAATCCTACAGGCTTCATTGACATATGTTGATACTTTCAAATATTTACTGATGTCTTGTTTTAGTCTTTAGTTGGGTTGTTTTGGTATTTTATACTCAGAACCTCAGTTTCTGTTATATACAGATAATTTATTTTAATAGCATTTTTTTTGTTAAACTGCAAAAATTTTAGTTAACCAAGTAACTCAATATTTACAAGATGACTCGCCTGGACTATGGAGTCATTCCTTGATTACAATTTGACTACTATTTTCACTAAGTAACCACTAGTTTCAATTAGTCTCTAAACATGGTAGCTATTGAACTATTATAATTGTTTCCTCCACTTGTGGTTCTTCTACCCTGTCATATGTAGCTACAATATGAACTTTTTGCCCAAATATGATATACTCTTGCTGCGAACAGAAATCCCAGTGTACCTTCCCTTGGTCTACTATTTTTTACCTTCATGGAGTGTTAGAGTATCTGGTCATCCCAGTTGCCAATTGGTTTTGTTGTGCCTGTCCAGTTTAAGATAGTCTTCCACATGTTTTTCTAGTAGGGGAAAGAGAAGAACAGGTGTTATGTATCTTCTATAGAGTCAGTACCACAGAGTACACGTCCCTGAGAGACCTGCATACCCCAACTACTTAATCTGATCCAACAGTTACTCTAGATCAATGTGAGTATTATGATTCTTACAGGTTGGTTCGTTTGGTCAAGTTAAGGCATGAGGTGTCGATCTGTCTTACCAAGGTGCGAGGCATGTCAAACTTGGTATCAAAGCAAGCATGTTTCCCAAGGAGTCTATGAAGTCGTGTCTAGTACACTACTACTTATGGGTGTGTTGTGAATCATAGTTATAATTGGGAGGCTACAAGGAATTCGAAAAATGTTAACCTTCTTTCGTACTCTAGATCGTGCAATAGAGTTGAGTATTAAGAACTTGATTCTGACTCATGCCTTGTTATATGTTCTACAAAATATGCCTATAAAAAGACAGAGGAAAGTCAGCCAAAGGTCTAGTAAGGCTCCAAAAGCAGATACCAGTGGGTTGCCACCTACTAATTCTAGATAAACTATGTCTCAGGATAGTCCACCTAATTAGGCACGCCCAGTCCTACAACCGTTGGGGCTAGAAGATCATAGATAAGTTCCTTTACCTCATGTTCTACTACCTAGTTCTACCAATCAGAATATCAAAGATATCGTTCAATTGCTTACTCAGTTGGTAGTTGCTTAGTCATAGCGGTAGGCAAAAGCATTTTCCAAGTGCTCGTCCATCAGAAGGGTCAACCGGTTCTAGAGTTCGGCATTTTCTTCACATGGGTCCTCCAAAATTTAAAAGATCTAGTCCGAATGAACACAAGAATTTTATTGATGAAATTCACATAACACTTAAAGTCATGCATGCTTTTGAGATAGAGGTTATTGAATTGGATTCTTATTAATTGACAGATGTTACAGTGACTTTGTATGCAACATGGGAAGATTCTAGAGGGTCGAATGCACCTTCAGCATTGTGGAAAAAGTTTACTAAGGCCTTCTGGATCATTTTCTGCCAATGATTATTAGAGAGGCTAAGGCTGGCATGTTTGTAGCACTCAGATAGAATGATACGAGCATGAGGGATTATAGACTTAAATTTACTTCTTTGGCAAGGTAGCCCCGGAGTTAGTTGCTACTATGCGAGCAAGGGTTCATAGATTCTTGATTAGAGTTAGGCCCCATCTAATCAATAGGTTCTCTACAACTTCATTAAGAAAATATATGGATATCTCTAGGATGATGGCCTTTGTGCAAAAGATAGAGGAGCATAAGTAGAAGCTCTGGCCCATCAAATAAAGAGACTATAGTAAAAGGTCCAAGTTAGTTGGTAGTTAGGGAAGAGCTCAAGGTAGTAGTGGAACATTCCCAATAGGAGATCAGCAGGGCCTTCACAGTCAGTATTTCATTTGTCGCAATTGTACCACCTTAGTATTCAAGGCCTAGGAATGTTCAGGGCTGCCAGTCCCAATCAGTACAAGGTTAGAGTTCTATAGTGCCAAACTCGCACATTCAAGATAGCAAGAGTCTAGGCATACCACCTTAGTCTCATTGTAGACAGTGCAAGGAAATGCATCTAAGGCCATGCCAATATGGATCAAATGCATGTTATTGGTTTTGTGTGGTTGGCCATATTATAAGGAATTTCCAAAATCCTGAATGGAGATGAATGATGGTAGAGCTCGGCCTACAGGGATAGTAGCATCCTCAGCAGCACCATCCACATCTTGTGGCATTCACGCACCTACAACTAAGGAAGAGGTAGGGGTGAAGAGTCTAGTTCAGGCTGTGGTTAGAACTACATATATGCACTAGGAAGAGGCATGATATGATTCATATTCATCACTCGATGTGGTTACTTTTAAATTATCTATATCCTGTCATGATGTATATGCACTAATATACAGGGTCTACCTTATCATATAATACTCCATTTGTTGCTGGAAATTTTGGGGTATAGCCAGAATAGTTAGGTAAGTCGGTTTTTGTATCAACTCTGGCTAGTAATTCAGTTATAGCCACATGGGTTTATCGGGGTTGTACTATTGTGATATGTCATTGTGGCACGAAAAGAAACCTAATTGAGTTAGAAATTGTTGATTCGATGTCATTATGGATATGGATTAGCTATCATCTTATTATGCTACGCTCAATTATTAGGCCAAGATCATTATATTCTATTTTTTGATGGAGCCAGTCCTGGAATATAATGATGATTTTATGGCACCTAAGGGTAGGTTGATTTCCTAACTTAAGGTGAGGATGTTTGATTTTTAAAGGGTGTTTATATCACCATGTCCGAGTAAAGGACATTGATGTTGATGAAAAGGCATCGATTCTTCAATATGTGCCAGTGGTGAATGAATATCCAAAAATATTCCCTAAGGAACTTCTTAGTATCCCATCAAATAGAGAGATAGATTTGGTATCAATGTGCTTCTAGGTACCCAACCAATATATGTTCCTCCATACATAATGGCCTCAACAAAATTGAAAGAATTGAATGTGCAGTTGAAAGATCTACTTATTACTCGCACAGGTTTGTAGTGATTGTCTTGTCATAGCCTCGTCACTACTTCGTCAAGGTAAGGCTTGATACTTAATGAGTACATTGAGTCTGTTGTACTCATACTACACTTCTTCCCTTCTTGTGCAGATCCTGGTGTTGGTCCTAGTGGCGTTCAGATATGATTACTCGAACATCTTCTAGGAGACTTGAGGTAGTGTTGCTTGGCATTTGCAGTCCCTAGAGTCCCCTTCTTATCTTTTCTGTTGTTAATTTTGTATCAGACACTGTTGTGTTTTTTTCAAACTTTATATATAGTATTTTAGTAGCTCGTGTACTTGTGACACCAAATTCAGAGAATAGTCATAGACAGAGATGGTTATGGATTTATCATACATTTCATGAAATTTCACTCTTTATTTCTTATTATTGTGTTTTTAATTGATAAACTACGTTAATCGTTTAGCTAACGTGGCTTGACTAGGAAGCAAATGTTAGGTACCATCACAACCTCATGGTTATGATTTTTAAGTTGTGACAAGTTGGTATCAGAGCCCTAGGTTTTATAGATCTCATGAGTTAAGAGCAAGCTTAGTAGTGTCTTGAGGATCGGTACAGAAACATGTGTACTTATCTTCTAGAGGCTATAAGACTTTAGGAAACTTTACTTTCTTTCTTTCACTATCGTGCGACTTTATTCTATCGTTAAAATTGAATCTTTCTTATCCTACTCTCTCCTAAATAGTGAGGATATGTATGTCATCTGCAACTGATCAGGATCTAGAGTCCCAGATTGTAGCCACTACCAGGAGTAGGCGTAGGGGCCAGGACAGAGCCAGAGGTAGATGTAGAGCTCATCTTAGAGCACACGCAGCGACACCTATTGTCGAACCTCAAATAGGGAAAGATGATGAGATCCCAGTTCTGACAAAGCCAATATGACCAGCTTAGGTCCCAGAGGGGTTCATTGATACCCTAGTGCTTCAGGATGCCTTAGTCCGCCTGATTGGCTTCATGGAGAGTATGAACCATACCAGTGTGTTTCCTGTGGCACTAGCCGTTTTTCAGGTTAGGGAGGAGCCCAGACTCCGACTACTCACACCCCAGAGTAGATGGCTCATGGTTATCTATCATGACCCCAAATCCATCTAGTTGTGATGGCACATAACCCAAACCACTATGTAAGATAAATAACAATCAACACAACTCAAATTAGAATAACAAGAGTCAATGATTAAAATAACTAAAATTCTATTCAAAATCTAAAGGATTGGTAGTACTAGTCATGGGCCACTAAGACTTGGATTTACAAAGCTAGTCTACAAATAATTACAACTTATGTCTGGAATATACATAAATAGAGTACAATATCCAAAACTACCAAGGACAAATGGTAGATATATCCGAAAAGTAGGTACATCTTAATGCCAACCCCCTACATACATAGCAGCATCAGCTCCAAGATTTGCACGCAAGGCGGAGAAGTGTAGTATGAGCACAACTAACCGCATGTACTCAATAAGTAACAAGCCTAACCTCAGGTTAAAAGCAGTGACGAGCTCGGAAAAAGGTCGGTGTCCAATAATAGTAATCATCAATATCACATGATATAATAATGCTAATAATGGTAAATAACTCAAAAGATATCACATTTAGCTCGATCACAAATATGGAAATTTAGATGTGCTTTACAAGTATAACAGTTAAAGCCCAAATCTTTTACTGAAATCATAAAAATAGGAGTTGATCAGAGAACTGTGATTTTTTCCAAACATTCAACAACAAATAAAACATTTCATTTACCAGCTAGCATGAGAAAAATACATCTTTATGCCTACCTATCAAGTATACATGTCAACTTAATAACAGCATGTTGCCACCTAACATGAGGAAAATAAATTTTTATGCCTACATGTCAATTATACATGTCAAGTAAATAATTTCACAGTGATATCATCAAGTACATTCACTCTCAGTGGACTCAATGTGTCTGGATCATATGCCCCATTTCATCACACACAAAATCACTCAGCATTATATAGGTGTCTAGCGTCGATGCCCCTCACCAAATCATGTGTATATATCACTATACATGTGCTCACTACTAATGTCACACTCGTTCCACGTACAAGGACACCGAAATATCACAATGTGTCGTAAATACATCTCAAACACATGCCACGTACAAGGACACCGATAACATGTGAGACAGCATATCAAAAGGGCTTAAAGATAGAGATATAACATACAGATATAACTATCATGACTATATAGTATGACTTCGACTAAGGCAAATAGCTCAACATGGATAAAATACCCCTATCATGTCTCAGACAATTAAGCAGGTGGCCTAGACATGATTTCTAGCATGTATAATAACCCATGTAATCATACTAATGAAGCAAACTTAATATCAAAGAAGCATGATAGTAAAACAAGGCATATAATAGTCTAAGAAATACCCGGATCATGAATACCCTGGTGCGCACACACATGCCCGTTACCCAGTGCATGTGGCACTCCCAACACATCTCAAATAGCATAATTTTCAGGGATGATACCATTAATTCCAAGTATAGATATGTTATTTACCTCGAACAAGCCAAATCAAATACTGAGCAAGCCAAATAACACTCTAGAAATGCCATATCATGCGAATCGACCTCCGAACGGCTCGAAACTAGCAAAAAGCAACTCAAAAAAAACAAATAATTCCATAGGAATCAACCTCAAATGATAAAGGTTGAATCTTCAATCAAATACTCAAAGTCAACCAAAACGTCAACTAGGGCTCGTACCTCGGAACCCGACAAAACTTATAAGTTCTAATAACCCATTCGAATATGAGCCCAGCCATACTAATTTCACTCAAATACGACTCTGAATCGATATTCAAAACCCAGTAATTCACTTTAGAAAGGTTTTGACAATAACCCCCAATTTCTCTTTGAAATTCATAATTATAATGCCAAAATCGAAGAGGAATCATATAATATAATCAAATCCGAGTCAAAAATACTTACAACTATCCAAATCATGAAAATATCTTCCAAGATCGCCCAAATCCGAGCTTTATAACTCAACATATGATAAAAACAACTCAACCCTCGAAATATAAAGCCTCTGCCCAGCTATTTCGCATATGAGAACCACCTTCCGCTTCTACGACATCGCTTCTATGACAAAAATCCTACTTCTATGTAAACCACTTAAAATCCATCCCCTCGCACCTGCGGACAACCTTCCAAATCTACAACATTGTAGGTGCGAGCTATATCCACTTCTGCGAAAATCTTCTCCAGTTTGCCTTCCCATTTCTGTGCCACACTGACCGCTTCTGCAATCCCACAGGTACGACCATGACTTCGCATTTGCGGTCTTCTCATCCCTATTTTAGTTTTGCTTATGTGACCACTGGCATGCATCTGCGGACTCACATCTGCAACAAACCCTCCGCAGATGCGGACATAATAGAATGAGAAAATCTTTCAGCATGCAATATAGATCAAAATAAATTCGATATCAACCCGAAACATACCCGAGACCCTCGGAACCCCGTCCAAGCATATCAGCAAATCTTAAAACATAACACGGACCTTCTTGAGGCCTCAATCCACACAAAAAAAACATCAAAACCACGAATTGCACCCCGAATCAAGCTTAATGAACCATTTCGAATTTCCAAATTCAAAACTTATGGCAAACATGTCTAAACAACTCGAAATCAACTCAAATTTTGCACACAAGTTCCAAATGACATAACGAACCTACTCCAACTCCTGGAATGAGAATATAAACCATATCGCATCGAAGTCAACTCCCGGTAAAACCTATGAAACTTTTAAAACCTTCAAATTCCATCTTTCGCCAATTAGAGCCAAAACCTCTAGAAACATCCAAATGCAAATACGGGCATACGCCCAAGTCCAAAATCATCATTCGGACCTAATGAAACCATAAAAACTCCATTCTGAGGTCAAATACACAAAAGTCAAACTTTGGTGAACTCTTCCAACTTAAAGCGTCCTATTTAAGAATCATTCTTCCAAATCAATTTTGAACAACTAGACGACCAAAACCGACCATATACGCAAGTCATAATACACCATATGAAGCTATTCATGACCTCAAACAACCAAACTGAATGCAAATGCTCAAAATGACTGGCCGGGTCATTACATTCTCCCCTCACTTAAGCATACGTTCGTCCTCATACATGCCAAGAGTCGTTCCAAAGCCATCAAATCACCATATAACCTCACCATACATATAACCATAGGTGATCCCATGTCTCCCAATCCATATAAGCCTGAAAAGAAAACCTAACTGAAAATCCTTACTTCAACCTTAGTCCATAAATCTTAGAACCCAAATCCCCAAAATATGGAACTCATTATAAGACCCGATTCTTGAATCCATACATTGTATAAGTCTGAATAAGCTATATCAATCCATAACCATATTCCAAGACATAATCACATGATATACCATATAACTCAAATACTCACAACAATAACTTCTTACCATAATAACTACTCAATAACAAACCTGGTACCGGTAACAAACCTCTTCACAACTAAAACCTTGTTATGAACCTTTGTACACTGCCAGTTTTGAAATAAACTCGCATATACTCATAACCACACATCAAATCAACAAGTCATGGAGCTCTCTCGCCTGATAAGAACCATAGCCAAATTCTAAGCTGACTAGAGACATTATTCTTCCAAAACAAACCTTAATCAAATTTGATACACTCATTCCAGGTCCAATAACCTTATCTCATCGATCACAGACTGCTCGACCAATATGCCACACCATCACCACCTCGAGCCACATATCGTGCAATACGTGCACTAATAGGCAACAACTCAAATGTACCCAATGATGGAAAGAGAATCAAATGAGAGAATCTGCAAGCTCAACTTATACCATCATGAAGTGCAATGCGATGAATCCATCACACAAAAGAGAAACAAACACACAAAATAAGCACAAAGTATCATATCCTAATATAACTTCAATGCGATGTGTTCCCCAATCCAAACACCGTCCCCATGGAATACCTCGAGCCATGATGCTCATAATCAACAAACATATGCATATCAACAACAAATATGCAGAGTGCATGAACATAACCACAGAGAAATGGATAGCACAATATACCACATAAAGGAAGACCATAACCAAGGGACAATCAACCATTTAGCGCCCCAAGAGTCATCTCGCTTGAACTCCGCCACAAGGACCAGACAAAACCGCATCATGCATGTAAATAGTCAGTAGTCTCGTAATCCATCGTAGCATAAAATAGTAACACATGGAACATTTCAGAACACGAATAATATCAACTCTAACTGATGACAC